AACTGGGTGCTAGAAGCACTGGAGTTAAGATTAACTTTTCCAGACCCTTTGGTTTTTTGAAACATGGGTACCACATAGTCTCTTGTAATTGTGTACACCTTATGTTCCAAATTCAGCTATTTAGTTCAAGAAGACTCTCCCAGAACTACTTGCCAGAGATTATCTCAGATCTGCCAACAGAGCTCCTTTAGTTAGTGTTTCCTAATTAATTTCACTTGAAGTAAGTCACCTTCTCTTACACAGCAGATGTTTCCAACCTGGAGGGGTTGTCAGAACTGTGTGGGGAAGAGAAGGGGATATGAAGAACTTCATTTGCAAAATGAACTGTTCCTGTGAGTGTGCAGTGCCCCCAGCATGGTGTCATGCTGAATATGTTGGAGCACTAACCTGGAGAGCCTGCACAGCTGCAGCTGGGAGAGAGTCCCTGTACTAGCTATATGTTCTGTCTTCTATCTCGTATATTGCTGTGTTGCATGGTAATGAAGCCTGCCATATGGAAGGTGTTCAGGCTGTTTATTCTTAATGGTGGTAAGGGAAGTACCTTACAGTATCTATTTAACACCACTATTTAGGTCTCATAATGTAGTTTTTATATGCAGTTTCTTCCCACATTTTCATGCAGTTTTTTATCACCTCAACTTACATTAAAGTTCTGAAATAAAATTTGCAAAGAAGTTGGGATAATTTTGGTAGAAGTCCTATCTCTACATAAATATTAGAAATCCAGAATGAATGTCTTTTGCTAAAGGCAAAATTGAAGTATTCCATCTTTCTGTGAACTGGAGCATTCTCAGGTGCAGGCATGACATTTGACTTAGAGAGAAATTGGAACTGAGTAAAAATCAGCCAACTATAAAATGGAAGATGCGTAGTTATGTTAGCATGGTGCTGGATCCAAACTCTCAAAAGTGTCATAGCCCATGCCCAGTGTTGTGCCTAATGATTATTGATGCCCATCCTTACCCTTCTGCCAGCTCAGAAAATGGGCAAAATTAGTTTCTACTAGAGTCAGATTCTCTCTTTTTGTTTCATTGAAGTGTGTCTTGACCTTTGTAGTTATAATTGTCAAGCTGTATTATTTATTTAGTATATCTACATAAACAAAAGTGCCTCGTATCTGGTTATAGTTCATCCAGTTTATTGTTGCCTAACAAAATCGTTAACTCTCTTTATAGTCTTTGCAGAAGGTTTTCTTTCTGATGGTGGTAGAGAGCAATTTTGAGCTGCTTCTGTTGTATCCAGTAGAAAATGGAATAATTCACCTTACTTCAGACTTAGATTAAATCTAATAAGAAATGAATAAAGCTTTTTTGGTTTTTAGATGTGTTCCATATCCTTGTTGAGAACCTGCTGATTAATTTCATATAAGAAATGCTAATGTACCTGAAGTACTGTTTATATATTTAAAATAAATCATAGTAGGGACAATCTGCTGGTTAAATATTAAATTCTACATCAAAATTACTTCTGCAGTTTTTCTGAACCTTGAAAAAGGGGGAGAGTCTTCTGGAGCAAGTCCTCAACTAACAGGAAGATCGCTCAGATGTGCTTTTCCAGAAGTCAGGCTAACAAGTCAACTCCAGACCTTTTCACCGGGGGAGTAGCAAGTAGCTGAGTCCTGAATTTCACATCAAAGCTTGTTGCTCTATTTCTGTCCTGTTTTCCCCTTCTTCCTCACAGGGCATGAATCCATAGGGTCCTGTTCAGATCATCCCCAGAGATCTGTCAGTTAAGTCAGAATTTCCACAGGTGATCAATATTTATGAGTTTCATGGTGCCTCTATGTTGGTGTTGCCCTGACAGCATAAAGAACTTTTTCTCTGTGGTCTGATGAAATGTCAGTGCAGCAGCCATCTTTTTTAATCTTGCACCATTTACATGAGTTACTTAGGATTTACAAAGTACTAAAAAAATCAGTTTTCTTCCATGTACTAGAATTGCATGATGCAAACTTTATTCAGAGTTCTTTGGAGTTCCTATAAAAGCTGTGTTTCCTTCTAAAATTATAATTTAAATTGTTTTTGTTTTTTTAAATTTATATATATATGTATTCCACAACCTTTTTCCTTCTTCTGTTTCTTTCTTGTGTGGTTTTAAAACCTACAAGTTTTGCTTAGATGCTGCATTGAAAAACTTGGGTTTCAGTATTGCTGGTTGTGTGAAAATCATGAAAGTTAGGGGTGCATATTCTTGACTTTTTGGCTTTCTTCAACATGTCAGCTTCAGAATGCTGAAAATGGACAAACTTTGGAGTTTGATCTTTAAATGAGGTGGATGAAAATAACTTATTAACTTATATGGTTATGCCAATCTCATAATGCCAGTCTGTGATAATCATACCAAGCTGTATTATGATGATAATCGACAATAAGGTTCCAAAGGTCAGGGTGACAATAATGCTTTTGCGGTGGGTTATATTAATCTGCCTTATTTATTGTTTGGGGCTTGTGTTCAAGTTGCTTTGCCTAAAATTGGCTAGGACAGTAGAACTCAGCTCTACCATTGAGTGATAATGGCTTAGTGCCAGCAGAAATGTAATAGATAAATAATATTATATAGGAGTTACATATTAAAAGAGATATGGATTCCTGTTAAAACCATGCAGATTAACTGGTTTCTGTCAAGTAGCTGTGATTCGGCAGAGTCCATGCATGTTTTCCACTCCATGATTCTTCTATATGTCTTGGGATGGATTGCAAAGATGTTTCAGGACTTAAATAATTTAAATGCCCCTGGATCCCTTATTGTGACGTTTTACTAAGCATTTAAGCCAAAATCCTCAAATTTATATCAATATAATAACTAGGTAGATAGATAATTCTATGCCAGTATAGCCAACTTTAGCATAACTACAGGTGGCCTAGCAACAAGAAGTTCAAATCAAGCCTACCTAATGCCATCTCTTGGATAAATAATTTCAAAGTATATATTGCAATTGGGTGTTGTACTGCAGCAGGATTAAATCATATATGAGATAGATTTTGTCCTACTCTCACTGCTTGTTTGCTAAGTTTCTGGTTTCGTTTAGGTTCAAGGACAATCTCCTGGATGCTGATAGTATGCAATCTGTTCAACATGGATTCAACATTGGAAGATTACCTAGAAATTTCCAGTGAGTATAGATCCATTTGTCTGATTAGTTAGTAGTGGGCTGTCAATCTTAAAACTTCCTCTTAAGTGCCTGTCTACACTAGTTTTTACTTTGTGTCATGGTTCTGATCCATAGAGTACTGCATGTTTTTGAGAGTTAATTATTGGAGAGAACTGATGTGCATGAGCTAATAAGCTTCAGGTTAAATAAAAACACAGAAGCAAAATGCAGGATTTTCTTAAAACAGTACTCTGGTATTTACTTCATCCATTACTACATGCTAAAATGAATCCTAGGATTACCTGGAATAGTAGAATCTAGTCTAGTTTCAGTGAAAAGATGATGTCAGTGAACAATTGCCAATAAAAATAAGTGTGCTTTTCCAATAAAGGTTATATGAATCTCTGAGTATTAGT